AACCCTCTCTCCTCTCTCATAATCCCCTTTAACTTTGATGTTGCATACACCTCCCCACACACGCACACTTAAATCTAGGCCCCACGTATGAAAGGAAGCATGCAGTATTTGTCTGACTCTTGAGTCTGGATTGCTTTGCTTAACGTAACAACCCCATTCCATCAGTTTTCCTATGAATACCATCATTTCATTCTTCTGCACAACTGAATAAAATTACATTGTGCATATATACATTTTCATTATCCATTCCCTCACATTTTGATGCACATCTAGGCTGGGTCCATATCTTGGCTATTGTGAATCATGAGGCAATAAACAGGTATGTGTAATCTCTATAGAATGCTGATGTAGAATCCTTCTGGTATATATCTAAGGTGGTATAGCTGGGTCATATGGTAGTGCTAGTTTTAGTTCTTTGAAGAACCTCCATAGTGATTTCCACAGTGGCTGTTCCAATTTACATTCCCACTGGTATGTATAGGATTCCTTTCCCCTACATCCTTGCCAGCATTTTTTGTCATCCTTAAGATTTATTTTATTTTTGAATATGTGCCTGTGTGGGGGTATGTGCATGAGTGCAGTGCTCATGGAGGAAAGAGGTGTTGGAGTCCCCCTGGAGTTCGAATTACGGGCAGTTTTGAGTCACCTAACATGGGTGCTGAGAACTAAATTCAGGACCTCTGCAAGAGCAGTTACTGCTCTTAACTACTGAGCATCTCTCCAGCCCCTCATCTGTTCTCTTGATACTAGTCATTCTGATTGGGAATTCCAAAGTAGTTTTAATTTGAATTTCTCAAAGCTGAGGATGTAGAAATATTCTCAAGTATTTATTGATCATTCATATTTTTTTTCTTTGAGGATTACCTATTCAATTAATTATCCCATTTACTGACTGGATGATTTGAGGACTTGGTTTAATTTTTGAGTTCTTTATAGATTCTAGATATTACTCCTCCATCTTGATATTGCTTCTCAGTTTTGGGGGGCTAAGATCAAGTATAGATATTAATACCTGGCCTAATGTACAACCGATGATGATTTCTTTCCCATTCTGTGTTTGTCTGTTGGATGTAATTATTTCCTTTGCTGTACAGAATCTATCTTTTTACTTTCATTTGTTCCCATTAATCAATTCTTGGGATTATTTCCTATGCTATTGTAGTCCTATGCTACAGAAAGTCCTTGCCTGTATCTGTATCTTGAAGTGTTTTCCCCTAGCAGTTCCAGAATTTGCCATCTTCCATTAAGATCATTAGATTTTTGTGCAGGTTCAGAGAAAGGGATCAAGTTCCATTATTGTTTCTTTAAAAATTAGGAAAGGTGTCATGTAGCCCAGGCTGACCTTGCACTTATTATGCAGCAGAGATGACCTTAAACTTCTGATTCTCCTACTTCCACCTCCCAAGTGCTGGGATTATAGTCATGTGCTACCATGCCCAGTTTTATGTAGTGCTGGGGATTGAATTTAGGGTTTTGTGCATGCTATGCGTGAAGCCTACTGAGCTACAGCCTCACCTCTCTAGTTTCATTCTTTTACATGTGGATATCCAATTTTCCCAGTACTATTTGTTGAACAGGCTAGATTTTTGCAGTGCATGTTTTTGATAGTTTTGTCAAAGATCAGGTGGCTGTAGCTTAGCTGTGTAGGTTTATTTCTGAATCCTCTGTTCTACTGGTTTATGTGCTTGTGTGTAAATACTATGCGGTTTTGTTACTATGACTACATAGTATACTCTGAGATCAGGTACTGTGATGTCTCCAGCATCACTCTCTGCTCAGGATCAATTTGGTTCTTTGGGGTCTTTGTGTTTCCATGTGAATTTTAGGCTTTTTTTTCTACCTCTGTGAAGAGCCTCATTGGGATCTTGATGAAGAGTTCACTGAATATATAGATGGCTTTCAGTAATATAGTCATTTTTGCACTATTAGTTTTATCAATCCATGAACACGGGGAGGTCTTTCCATCTTCCTGGTGTCTTCTTCAATTTTTTCTTCACTGTTTTAAAGTTCACATAAAGGTCTTTCTCTCCTTTTGTTAGGTTTATTCCTAGGTATTTAAAAACATTATTATTATTTTGTGATTGTGTGCGTGTGTGTGTGTGTGTGCACTATTTAGGGGAGGAGGGAACATGTTCCACATTCTGTATATAGGTCAGATGGCAAATTTTGTGTAGTCAGTTCTCTTTCACCCTTATGTGGGTTCTAGGGGGTCAAACTCAATTAACAGGCTTGCATAACAAGCATTTTTACCTTGAGCCATCTCCCTGGCCCAGTATTTTTAAGCTATTTGTGTTAAGGATTTTCTTGATAGATTACCAAGAAAACATGAACACTTAAATCTATAAAGTGCCAAAAGACACAAAAATGTCTGTCTCCCCTTTTTCCTTTGATAATTTGAGAGTTTGCTCTCTTTTTTTGACAGAGAAAATTGTAATTACTTTCTACATTTCACTAAAACATTCCAGTGATATGTAGAAACTTGCTTTGGGCAAGGAGCATAAGGAAGATAGCATCCTCTTAGCACTGCAGTGAGGGAGGCACAGGCTGGACCTCACAAAACCCTCTCTGGGTGATAAATGCTATATGAAGGCAGTATGACATTTGCATTAGTTTCTTCAGTGGAATCGTCAGTTCTTGGGAGACTTGATTTGCTTTCTATGAACATACCCTGTTACACCGGACCTCCTCCTGGTACAGAGAGGCACAGAGATGCTAGAACCTCAGAGCTTTGCATACTGTTGCCATCACGGATCAGTAAATGCCAACCCCAACATATGACACAATGGGCATCCCAGTTCCACACTGGGCCCAGAGAGATGCTCTGTGGGGAGGAAGGAACTGGCAGGTGAAAGTTCATAAGACTCTGACAGCAGGTGATCTGTGACACCTGCTCCCCTGCCTCATCCATCACTAACAAGGCACCCTCTTTTACTACATCTTCCCCTCTCTAGATTTTTCTGTGCTAGCTGTTAATGGGGATGAATCGTAGTAAAGACCATATAGATCAGACCTTCACAACCATAGCATACAGCTTTTTTCCCTGCTCTGTTTCCCTTATTCTCAATTTCTGGTACTTTAGTGCCCTTGATCAGAGAGAGGCCATCTTAAAGGCTTGAAAGTTTTCTAACATATAATACTGATTAAATATGCTTAAATAAACCACAGGTACATAAACCATTAAGGCACACTCACTGGCAGAGTATGCAAATCAGTGGTGTGTGTTCCTGCCTGCATAAATCAGGTTGTGGGGTAGAATGACCCCATTGAGAAGTAAGGTAGATCTTGTTGTCAGGCACAGACTCCACACAGAGTAATAAGGCCGTACATGATGTTGTGGTATGCAGTTTGGAACTTGGGATGCTCAATGTTCCAGAGGGAGATTTAAGAGCTTGTGTTTGAGAGTCCAAGGTCTTAGAAGCAACAAGCCACACCATTCAAGAAAGCCAGGTGTCAAAAGCAGATGAAGAAATTATAGAGGCTAACCTGAAGAGATCTGAATGTTCTGGGACCAGAATGACAGCGGATGATGAGCGCCTCATGTTGGGAGAAACTTACCTGTTCATTTCCACCTGGCATCCCAGGGGCTGGCAAGATCACAGGGGTAGGACTTATAAAAAAAAAAAAACCTATTGGTAGGAGAGGATAAAATGTGGGGAGTGTCAGAACCACTGGTTTGAAATAGGATTCAGAACCTTACAAAAGGAACATCTCCAAGGTAACCACGTGGTTTGGAGGCCACAGGCCCATCTGCAATTTCCCAGGCCTTTGGATTCTTAACTTAATCAAAATATAGAGAGTGATCTCCATTTCTAATGGCTGATATTTAATTTCTCATGAAGGTTGGTGGATGAAGATAATTCTAGATTTGATTTACTTTGGTTAAATTTCCCTGAACTCAGCCACCATGGAACCAATGCATACTTATTTATACATGCTTAGAATTCATGCATGCACTGCTGCTTCTAAGAAACCACAATCTGCAGCCCTTTCTTCATTCCTGTGACAACAGACTGCTCAGTCTAGTTAGGCCCAAACAGCATGGCTTGAAAAGTCAAGCTGGGCTGACTAGATTCTCTTGCCTTCAGCACTATGAACTGAAGTGACATAGAGGTGTTTCTGGGAGTATGGGAGGATGCATTTGAATGAATAAGTGGGAGCGACCTTCAGGCAGAGACAGTGCAAGGGAACACACAGGACAGAAAAGCAGAAACATGTTAGAACTTAGAACTCCCAATATTATGGCTTAGAGAAGAATGCTTGGGTATGTCTGTAGCTACCATAGCACGAGACTTTGACCACTGATTCTTTTGACCACTGACTGTGGTTTTGACTCTGAAAGATGATGCAATTACTTGCTAAGAACAAGCCAGCCTCGAGGAAGCAAAACCAGACTCAACAACTAGAAGGTCTATAGATTTTGTCATTGCAAGGACTTGCCTCTCTGCATTCCCAGAGACATAACCAGCTAGTACAGGTGGGAAATGGGTGTAGCCTATGCTAAGCATAGGCCCCATTTTGTATTTGACACCCATGCTGGCTGACTTAAAGATTTTCCCAGAGAACTAAGTTGAGGCAAAGTTCAGAAACTGCTTAAATAGTGCTGTATTATAAACTTCAGACTCCTTGAGTGGACTTTTCAGGCTCAGCTTCCAAATATTCAAAGTTACAGCTCAGCTACAGAGCAAGTTTCCTCTTAAAATGAATATTTTACTGTATCTGTTTTATTGTCACTCTTTTCTATTGCAAAATGGAAGTTGAATGTGAGAGTTTTCACTGTGAGCCTGAGAGAAAGGTACTTAAAAACCTCACATTGAAAATCCCATTTGTAGAGTTAGGAACTATTCCTATACATGAAAAAAGAGAAAAAAGACTCCTGTCTTCAGCTTATACCAGAGAGAATAATTTGGGGGAATGTAATAATCTCCAAATATTAAACCTTATTTTTTTCTTGGATGGTATAAGACTCCGTAACCACTTCATCCCATATGCCCTTCCCTTACCACTGGTGACTTTTTGGATGAAAATCTGGCCCATAATTTAACAAAGTAGTTTCTATTTGTTGAATCCAGGAAATCACCCGTATTTGAAGCAGTAGACTTCCTAGGAGATCTTTCATAATTCGGGTAAGGTATTCTAATATCTGGTAAGGAAAAAAAATAAAATTTAAAATGAAAAGTATATAACATAATACGAGTGTTCTGAAATGATAGCAATGTTTATATTTTATTTGTCCAAACACAAGAAACTGTATGCCTCAAGTCTGTACATTGCAACTTGAAAATAAATAAAACACATCTTAAAGTAATGATAATACCAAATAAAGTCAGCCTATACTATCTAAGAGATATAAGCAATACAGGTTTACGATTTGAATTAAAGGAAGTAAAACATGTCAAAAAATTGCATCTAGATACTTAGAAAATCACCCTAATAATTACTTTCCACTTGGCAAAAGTCTTCTAAAGACTAAAATAAAACATTAAATTCTAGAAAGCTTTGAAATAAAATGGAATTGATGAAGTCACTATTTAACAGAAGTTATTCATAATTAATGTTGAACATTTTCTTTAAGTCATTAGAATGTAAAGAGACTTTGAATATCAATTTCTAGTCTTGCTCATCAAGATAGGGCCCAGGTTTATGTACCTTTATTACTTTTTTTTTTTTTTTAAATATGTATAGGTATTTTTCCTGCAAGTAAGCAAGGGCACCAATGTTCTGCAATGCCTGTGGAGGCCAGAAGAGGGCATTGGATTCCCCCAGAACCAGAGTTAAAGACAGTTGTTAACCTCCATGTGGATGTTGGGAATCCAACCTAGGTCTTCTGGAAGAATAGCCAGTGCTCTTAGTTTCTGAACCATCTCTCCAGACCCTTACATACCTTTAGATGTATAGAAGCATCAACCGTTTCTGGAGCATTGCCTTTAAAATGCTAAAATAAATAATTTCTACATATATCTTGAATCAATATGCCTGACTGAGCAGATATGGGAAGCTAATCTCCTATCCAAAGACAAAAGAAAATACTAATGTGCAACTAAACTTACTTTGTTTTTAGTACATACACATAATAAATAAAGAAGGAAATTTTTCTGGGCGAATTCTCCAAGTCAGAAGAATGGGAACAGGTCCCAAGAGGTCAGAGGTATCAGGGGCTGATGCTTACAACCTGGACTGAGAGTGGATGCATGGTTTCTGTGAGCCTGGAAAACAAGACCTAGGCTCTATGATATGGTGAGAAGTTGTAGAGGAGTCTGTAACTCAGCCCACAGATACCTGAGCACAGTCTTACCTGGCCTCAAGATAGAAATGCCCATGAAAACATGAGACCTCAGGCTCATCTGGTGGAGAAATAGCTTAGCATGCACAAACTCTTGGATTTGATCCCCAGTTCTGCATAAACTGGGTTTGGTGGCATCTATCTGTAATGCCAGCACTTAGGAGGTAGAGACAAGAGAATCAGAAGTTCAAGGTCACCCTCGGCTAAAAGCGAACTTGAAGCCAGGGTCAGCTACATAAGACACTACCTAAAAGAGGGGGGTGGGGAGCTCTATCTCTGTGCTGTGTACTGCTATTGAATATGAACTTGAACCAAACCAATAAAAGAAAGTAAAAGTTGTTACAGCAAGTCAAAGAAGTTTTGGCAGGGGATTCTAAAATTCCACAATCCAGAACCTATCTTGAGAGCAGGAAAAAGATTCAACAGTGTAGCATATGGTAGAGGCATGTGTCGCCAGAATCTAGGTAACAGCAATCTCAGAAGGAACATTAAAGTAATCATGTTTATCAAACCAATTATCAAGTGAGCAACTGTACGAAGGAACATTCTTTGTTAAGTCTTCAGGATAATAAAATCATCTGACCCATATTTACTGAGCACCTACCATGTGATAGATAGATGTAGTTCTGGACATTGAGGATGTAGCAATGAGCAAAAAGTCCTTGACCTGTGGGAACTGCACTAAACTGGAGACAGACAACACATTTAAAATGTGAGAGAATGGTAAGTACAATTATAGGGGCCAGAGAGAGACGGTGTCAAGGCCAAAAGAAGTCCTCTGAGGGAGGCTGGGGGTAAGAAAGAAGTTCTCTGTAATGTGGACAGAGTTACAGAAGTTTAAAGACATAAAGAAAGAAAGCAAGTACCTTGAGTGGCAAATAATGAACATGAGGAAGAGAAGGCTTTCTACAAAAATCCAGAAGCATGGTTAACAGGAGTATCAACATGAAGAATTTACCATCACTTGGGTTGGAGAGGGGGCTCAGTCAGTAATGTACTTGCTGTGGAGTGTGAAGATCTAAGTTTGGATCCCTGGTATACACATAAAAGTCTGGTGTGGCAGCCTGTGTCTGTAACATCAGTGCTAGTGCTTGCCAGTCAGTCACCAGTCAGCCAGTCTACCCAATCAGGGGGCTCCGGTTTCAGTGAGAGACTCTGTCTCAAAAAATAAAGTGGAAAGTGGTAGAGGAAAACACCCATGCCAACCCCTGGCCTCTAATGTTTCTAAACACACACACATACACACACACACACACACACACACACGTGTCTGTAACATCAGTGCTAGTGCTTGCCAGTCAGTCACCAGTCAGCCAGTCTACCCAATCAGGGGGCTCCGGTTTCAGTGAGAGACTCTGTCTCAAAAAATAAAGTGGAAAGTGGTAGAGGAAAACACCCATGCCAACCCCTGGCCTCTAATGTTTCTAAACACACACACATACACACACACACACACACACACACACACACACAATTGTAGCTAAAGATTGTAGGTAATGGAGGGGGCAGATCCTATGATTTTTTTTTCTTTATATAAAATACTTGTCTTGTTGGTTTGACCATTATGAAAAACAGACCAGATGAATCTGAACAATTGAAGCAAGATAAAAATTGGAGGCTGTATTTATTGAAATAATTGCCATAAACAAGATCATATGTTGTTTGTGTATACACACACATATGCCTATCTATCAGATCTTTTCTATGGAAATATGTTATATATAAGCAGTTCAAAATTTAGTTTTCATATGGACTCCTTTTTCTAGCATTCAAAAGTCATCTGTATTATGGTACAAAGAAGTCAAGTTAAATCTGATGATACAATACAGCTCTAACTCCAATAATTTAATGTTTAATAAAGTCCTAGAAACAAAATATTTGGGGTAAGGATAATGAGGCTATACTGTTATTTTAAAATACTTTGTTTATTATTTTTATTTTATGTGTATGAGGGTATCACCTGTGTGTAAGTGCACCCATGTCATGCAATGCCTGTGGAGATCAGAAGAGGGCATCAGATTTCCTTGAACTGGAGTTAAGGACAGTTGTTAGCCACCATGTGGATGCTGGAAATCAAACCCAGATCCTCTGCAAGAGTAGCCAGTACCCTTAACTGCTGAGCCATCTCTACAGCCCAAATGTGTCACTCGGGCTGGCCTCAAACTCATGATCCTACTGCCTCTGTCTCTTCAGCATATTCTACCAGCATGTGCCACCACAACCAGCTCTATTACTATTAAACCACATCATAATGTCACCATTTTAATGACTTGATCTCCTGTAATAAAGACTCTCATACCATTGTTAATTTTCTAATGTCTTAGCACATCAATGAAAAGATCTTACTTCCCAGTTAAAACCAACAGAATTACCCATGTTACAGTGCACTGCCACAAAGCTCCTTAATATCATCATGTTCAAAGCATATAAATTAAAGTCAGCCTTCAGGCAACATTTTAAAAGCATGTAAACTACTTTATAATCCACAAAAATGCAAGCTCTTCCTTATATAGGCCAGTTAAATCTATTTAAATACCTACAATGAAACATAAGTGAGTTTAATGAAGCGTGGCAGATTTTAAAGTTGCTTTATGGATTGGCATCATCGGCAGATGTGGGAGGATGCAGATGAAGGGCACAGAACAACTGGACCGGCATCTCAGAGCAACTTTCAGTGGTTTTCATCTTGTCTTTAGACATATTCCTTTGAAGTCAAATGAGCTAAATACTGTTTGTTCAATCCATTTAAAAAGAATAAGCACATAATCCTATCTGACAAATGTGGTAGAGGCAATATGCCTAGGAATAAAGCATTGTATACATCTTTAATCTTGTGTCACACAGGCTACATAGAGTATTTCCCAAACAGGAAAGTAGAAAACAATAGATGTTAATGATCTGGTATGATAGGCACATATCCAGGCTAAATAACTACAAATAAACTGCCATGAGGAGGTAAGGCTGTGAAGATTGTAAAAAATGAAAATCCCTATTTTTTTAACTTTAAAAAAATTTATTGAGAATTTCATGTGTGCATATAAAGTGTTTTGATCAAATCCATGCCCACTCCCTCCCCTCCAACTCCTCCCATATCTCCCGTCACTTTTTCCTGATAACTTTATGTGCTCTTTATTTTATTTTTTAAGTTTATCTTATTTTTTTTAATTTTTTAAAATGTAATAACCACATGATTAGAAGAAGCATTTCTTTACAGCTTTAACATATTCAGTAACACATTCCAGAGCAAGGATACATCTCTTTCCAAGGTGGCTGTAAATTTTTAGGTTCACAGTTGAATTAATACAGTCATACAATATTGAACTCAGTATAAACCCTGTAAGACATAAAATTGAATGGGTTTTTACCCTTTAAAGAATATCTCCATTTCATTTTAAGATTGCTGTTTCCTTGCATAGGGATTAGATAAGAGCTCCCAAATACTTTTGACATTTTTGGCCTTTGGAACAGAGTACGTTGCTAGGAGGCCCAAGGAAATTTTATTTTTATTTTAATATTTTATTATTTTTATTTTATGTGTATGAGTGTATTGCCTGCATGTATGTGAGTGCACCTGTGTCATGCAATGCTGCAGAGGTCAGAAAAGAGCTTCGGATTCCCTTGGAACTGAAGTTAAGGAAGATTTGTAGCCACCATGTGTGTGCTGGGAATCGAACCTGGGTCCTCTGCAAAAGCAGATTATTTTTTAATGTTCACAGTTTAATTAATACAGTCATACAATACTGAACTCAGTATAAACCTTATCAGGGTTTGGTTCTAGGATCCACATATGATTTTGCTACTCTAACATTTCCCCCCTCTGAAGAGGTAACCCTAAAATCTTTTTTTTTAATAATTTGAGA